TTCCGGCTTTTTCCTATATAAAGTTATTTTACAAAAATGATATTTATTATTTACTTTCAAGATGACAACAAGTAAAAAGTCATTCAATGAAGAAGAAAGAGAAGCTGCGTTAAATGATACAGAAGAAAAAAATACTTCAATCAGAAAAGCTGTATTCAAATGTGGCATTCCATTCACAACTCTAATAGGTTGCAAGAACAACAATGATGGTGCATGCGTTTAAGTTCTTATGTGATTGGGGTTATGGTTTAACACAAAATGATGTCATGGACTTCGTATGCGGTTACCTTCTTTCTGCAAATAAATCAGGCCTGTTTAAAAACGGCAGGCCTGGAAAAGACTGGTTTTATGCATTTATAAACCGATGGTCTAAAGAAATTTCCACAAGAAAAACACACACATTAAGATCCGCCAAAGCTGCTTCTTGTACGCAAGAAATATTTGATAATTATTTTGAAGTTGTCACTAAACAATATCAGTTGTCTGAAACCTCTGGTAGTCACATTTGGAATTGCGATGAAACGGGTTTCTGTGGTGATCAAGGCAAAGCAACTGTAGCATATCGAAATGGCCCAAAGCGTGTTTTGAAACTCACTAGTAACAATGAAAAAATCTACTATATAGTGAACAATTGCTGTAATGCTGATGGATACTTTACACCACCATTCGTGGTATACAAAGCAAAACGAAACTTTTGAGCTGAGTGGGATTTAGGTGGTCCGACTGGCACCAAATATTCAATTTCTAAATCTGGTTGGATGGAACATGACACATTTGTTGAATGGTTTAAGGAGTATATATACCAGAATGTCAAGCTATTAGTGGTACTTATATTTTATATCTTGATGGACATACGTCTCACGTCAGTTTAGCAGCTGATTCGCTATGTCGGGAAAACAATATAATTTTGATTTGTCTACCAGCCTATTCATCTCACATTCTTCTGCCATCGGACAGAGGTGTCTATTGCAATGTTAAGCAACTGTGGAAGGCAGTTCTTACCAAATATTACGGACACAAAATGCAAAAACTTAGATAAAGAAAATTTTCCTACGTTGCTCAAACAGGTGTATGAGAGCGGTAAGTGTTTTACACGTTTGCACGTTATTGCTGGTTTTGAATATACTATGTTATTTCCACTTAACAAAAACAAAATCAATCAACAGGCATTAGCTCCGAAACGTTTAATAAACCGACTTCTTCAACACCATTGCGAACAATAAAGCCTTTAGCATTATCTTTAATTGTCATTATCTTTTAGCTGCTGTTGCTGGTTATCTTATAACCAGCAACAGCAGCTTCGAGGTTCGACAAGTACAGAACACAAGTACATGAGAGAATGAAAATCGAAATGGAAAATGAGCTAAAGAGTTTTTTCAAGAAAAAAAATAGTTTCATGTAAAAAAAATGAGGCAACCTAATATTCCAAAAATTGTTGGTCAACGTATTACAGAACACGGTGTTGCAGATCATCTCAAAAAAAAGAGAAGAAGTTAAGCAACTCAAATTAGCTGAAAAACAAGCTAAAAAGCGTAACATCTGACTCATAATGCCATTGCCAAACCCTGCAGAAAAAGAAGTAACTCAAAATTTAGAACCGATTACAACACCTTCAGCCAAAAGAAGAAAAGTTATTAAATGCAGAAAGTGTAAAAAAGAATTACATCCGGACATGATGTCATGCGAGAATCCAAATTGCAATACCTGGCTCTGCAACAAAACATGTTTGCCAAAAAAAAATTTTAATGGGTTCAGATTTTTTTTGTTGTAAATAATTGTAAACCTTAAATCTTTTATTATTTTTGTATGCTATATAAAAATATATAGCATATTTCTGTATGCTATATAAAAAAATATAAAAATGTATACATTTACATATATAAAATGTTAAATTTATTATTGATCGGTTTTAACAGACTTTCTGCCAAAAGCGATCTTTTTTTTTCTTTTAGTTTTCATATTTTCAAATACAATTTAAAAAAAAAAAAATAATTAATAATGTGCGTGTTGGTATTTTCTATCTTATTTAAAAAAAATAGTTAAAAAATTTAAAAAAATAATAAAGTTACTTGATTTTTAATGTTCGGTGATCGGTTGGACCCGCTTTTACTCTATACAAATGGCGGGGGCAAGAAGAAGATAAAATAGTCCGTAATAATATAGTCATTAAAAACATTTCATTAAAAGTGTTGTCAAATATAAATACAAAAAAACTGAATAAAAATAAAGATTATAAGTCCTAAAATTCATTTTTAATTGTAAATGATCACAAAGCAAAAAACAAACAAACAAAGGAAAAAAATATTCAAAATTATATATAACAGTTTTCAATTATTACGATTCAATTGTCACGATAATTAGAAATTAAAAATTAAAAAAAAAAATTGTACTTTCATATTAATGAGAAAATATAAAATAAAAAATTAAAATTTTTAAAGAATCGAATTTTTTAAACCTTTGCAAATGAAAATTAAATCTTTGCAAATGAAAATACCATACAATATTTTTCAGATAAATAATAATTATAGCTCTTAAAGAAGTTCTCCATGTTTTGAATCAAATTATTTCTTCAATATTTATTTAAATTATTTCTTTTAGCTTTTATTTAATGTAACTTATGTTTGCAAGCGTTTTGATGTAGTTTCTGATTACTATACTCCATAATTGGGGGCCTCTATATGTGATAGAAAACTTAGTCGCTTTAAAGTGAGTTTTAGCTTAAATATAGTTTATAATATAAATATTGTTTCCATTTCTAGTAAGATATTTGTTCTGTGTTTTTTTAAAGAGCGTTTTAAAAATATTTGTCATCATACTGTTATTTATTTTGTACATGAAAATTAAATGATGATATATATTTATTTGGTAAACATTCAAAATCCTTAGATTAATAAATAGTGGTTGTAAATGAGAGAGACGCTCTGCGTCGGATATTATTCTTATGATAAGTTTTCATTTGTTGAATAACTTTATAAATTTTTTTTTTATTGATGCGCCAACCAATATTAGGATAATTGAGACTAGCAAAAAGCAACCCGTAATACGGGTTTTGGTCAACCTGTTACATAATTAGTTTATAGTGGCTGTTTTCCACAATTTAATGTTGCAAAACCTTAACTAATACCCTTTTAGAAAAACGCCTTCAGCTTGAAAAAGTAAATACATCTGTAAAGTTAACATAAAATGTATGAGGAGGTAAAATAATTTACCAACTACTACTTAACATTTACAATTACTACTTAACATTATTTGAGTAATTTACAACTGACTTAGGTCTTAACAGTGTAAGACAGAATCATTTTCATCGACCTTCCTAAGTTTAACACAATACGTTTTTAGTTACTGACACAAAATAATAACACTTCACCATGCTTTATTTGACGAAAGTATCAACTAAATCCTTGAAATAACTTTTATAATATGAACCATTAAGATTACAATGAAGTTAACCCGTAAGACGCGTTATGGTCGGTCTGTTACATAATTAATTTATAGTGGCTGTTTTCCACAATATAAAGTTGCAAATTCTTAACTAACACCCTTTTAAATATCAACTAAATTCTTGTAATATTTTTTATAACATAAACCTTAATTATTTATTAAGTCTATCATGAAGTTAACTTATATTATATTATACAGGAGTTAACTTTTGGTATCCCCTCTCAGGTTAAATTTTTCTTTAGAAAAGAAAATTTGTTATCTTAACAACGTTAAATGCACTTAACTAAATAAATTTATTAAAAATAACTAAGTTTATTATAAATAACTAAGCAATTAAGTACAAAAACGTTTAAAAAAAATTAAATAATTTACAATCAAACATGTGTATAACAAATTTTTTTAAAAATGTTAACTTTGATCTTTTATATTGCGTCATACGACAAACCTAAAATAAAAATTGTAACAGATAAGTAGGCATAAAAAAAGAATAAAAAAAGTAGACATAAAAAAGAAAGAAAAAATGACTGTAAAACAATTTACCTGCTTTTGGTAACCTGTTATCGTACTTCAGTTGCTGTCATGATGCAACGGTTTTTGTCGGAGTTGTTTAATGACGTTATTTAATGTTGGCTTTCAGTAAGCTTTAGTTTAATTTAGAAGACATCACAATATATTTAAAATATTTAAATTAAGGGCAAAATAAAATGTTTTAAGGGGCTAAACTATAAACATTTAAGATAAAAAATCAAATTGAGATATAAATTAATTGCATTTATATAGCTAAATATAGTCTTGGCTTATAGTAAATTTTAAAAGCAGCAACTGCAATATATTATTTTTAACAATTTAATGTAGCATCATTATACTATGATAATTGGATGAATCAATTTAACTGTATTTTAAGTTTAATTTAGTTTTCATTGTAATTAAAAAAGTAGAAAACAAATCAAATATACAACAGAATATATTATCAAAAAAAAAAAAAAATTATAAACTTGAACAAAAAAATTACAATTCAAAAAAAAAATTACAATATAAAAAAAATAATAATAACCGAAGAAAAGGCAGCAACAAAAAAGTTATAAATATCATAACTGATAGAAGTTATTTATAACTCTTTTATTGCTGTTTGATCTTCGGTGTCTCCCAACACCCCGGTATGAATGAGCCCTCCATTTGAAGGAGGACTCATCCATACCGCCATTAGAACACCACTTATTGAAGGACCTCTTTGAGAGAAGCCCTGGGTGGAGCGATATTATCTATACATGTATGTCAATTGATCTAAATTGATCTAAATTGATCTATACATGTATGTCAATTGATCGTATGTCAATTGATCTAAAATAACAAATAGAAGAATATAATTAAAGTTATAAATATTTGGAATTTTATTTAATCAAAATATAAAGCATAACCTCACCATTTTCAATAGTAACAGAAGAAGATGCTTCAAAAATTAAAAAAAAAATGAGTATATTAAAAAAATTTAAGCATATAAAAAATTTTATTTTAATAAAAAGATAAGTAAAACAGGAACAGTTAAAATGTCATATTTATTAGTAATTATAAAAACTTGCAATTTTATTGAATATAAATATAATCCATAACCTCACCAGTTTTTTTTGATGACAGCAGACGATGCTTAAACATTTAAAAAAAAAAAAGTTAATTAAAAAAGGTTAAATGTGAAAAATTTTATTTTAATTAAAATATAAGTAAAATAGGAACAGTTAAAAAATACCATATCAATGAATTAATTCTTTCACATATTGCACATATTTCTCAATACAAAATATATAAAATACAAAACACAGTCCTACCAGTTATGCTTCTTCCACACACTAAAGACAAAAAAACATACCTCATAATAATCGATAGAATATTTACATATGAAGCTAAAACTAACTAAAAATAACTATAAACTAAACTAAAACTATGAACTAAAATAAACTTTATAAATCTTAATACAAATGTCTTATTTATTTAACTATACTAATCATGTAATTCATACTTAGTTTTTGATCCAACTCTCCTGGAAGAAAAATAAAATAAAGCTAAGGTACTTGAACTTTTAAAACTCCAGTTACAGTAAAAATAAACAAGTTCCTAATTCCTGGACTAACTTTATACATTCTTACTATCACCTTATTTCCTATTTTTTGTCTAACCTTCCATTTACAATGTTTATCATCAAATACAAAGTGATATGGAATGTCTACATATGAATAGCGATGCGCTCCTTCATTTTCAGAATTCAACTTAAACCATGCCGTAAGGTGTGTATCACGTTGAGCAGCACAATCTAACGCCACTTGTTCTTCTTCTCTAAAATACACAATCTGATTCTCAGGAAGATGGACCTTAAGACGGATAATAGTGTGTGACATATGACTTATGGGATACTCAAATATTCGCCACAGTGCCTCAGGTGCACTAACATAACGACAATCTAAAAAAGTGTTTACTTCATCGTGATCAACCTGCTCATTTATCAAAACATTTGCACAATCATGTCCTTTGTATATATATTTGTACAAATATTTAACAGCCTTTACAGACATGCAAGCTTCAAGATTAATGTGGGCTTGATATTTCTTAGATAACCAAGGATTGTAATGTACCACCCAACGGTTATCTAGATTGTTGCCTTTAATATTGATAACTAACCCATTATCACGACGCCTATATTGTGGATAACCATTGTGAACAGCTACTGTGTAGTCACTAAATTCTTTAGGATAATTTTTACTGCACACCCCATCTTTCATGCAGGGAGAATAAGGATTCAGTATCCCACATGTGCCATGAATCATGCAAGTTTTAATAATATCATAAAGTTCATGATTAACAATCGGATCTGGAATTTCTGCACATATTAAATTATTGATATCCTGTGCTGTTTTAAGTTTATCATAATTGGCTAAATGAAGTAAAATGTGGGCATGCGGCAAACCACGCTTTTGAAACTCAATAACCTGAACATGTGTTACAACTTTGCCCAATACACCATGTTTGAATATATCATTGAGGAGGTTATTTAACTTGAGTTTAAATACTCTAGTAACCAAGTCAGGTCTATCATTCGCAGTCTGACCAGGATATAAATTTTCTGTTATTTCACGCCATTTTGGGTTGCAAGTAAAAGTAATAAAAAGATCTGGTTTACCATACTTTTTAATAATTGCCTTAGCATCTTTGAAGTTTTCTTTTAAAACTTTAGGACTTCCTACATAAGATGACGGTAAAACTACTACTCGCCCTGGTCGAATATTATGATCGTTCGCAATGTTGACTACTTAACAATGTTGTAAGCTTAACAGAAAGTCTATAATTGTAAAACTGAGATAGTGTAGCATAATTTCTAACCAATGTGGCACGCTCAGGATTTTGCACCAACTGATTATGCCAACTAGCATCACCTCTTGCGAAAAAGAGAGGATAAACCGGATAGGATCTAAGTTAGCTGACATACTTGATACAATTTTTAAAGGATGACCTCTTGGGTAAATAACAACTTCCCTGGAAGTTTGGGGAGCGCCATCTTCACCAACAAATACAACAGCAACTTCATCATGTAGATTGATCATGATAGATACATGATAGATACATCATGTAGACATCAAGGTAGATTATAGCGACATCTATCACCCCCTTCAAGTAAAGACATTTTTACAACTCAGACTGAGCGACCATCTATTCTACTTCAGCCATGTTTTTAAATGCAAGAGCAAATGGACTTTGTTCAGTAATTATAGTTTGCAATTGAAACATTAAATCCCGTAAACAAAAATCATTACCACGTTGTTGCATTCTAAAATTTACTGCTGCAAGTGGATCATAAATATATAGTTGAGAATATATTGGTGGAATATCTTGATCTGGCCTAAGATTACCTACACGATGATAAATCTGGCCACATATTTTAAAACATGGAGGTCCATGATTTATTGATTGAACTACATCTGCTTTAAAAAAAGAAAAAGAAAAACAGGCATTATAATTTCGAATATGTTTTAAAAAATTAACATTAGCATTACGATCTACATGACTCCCTGTAGATAAATCCTGTAAAACTTGTGTAAATGGTGAAAGTGGAGGCAAAGTTACCTTACCATTATGGCAACAAAGTTTGTGTTTTTTATCTGTAAATTTCTTAGCATCGCAGTTCTAACTAATTTCTACACTTATTTCAATTATAATATGATCTTAACGATGATAATTTATTTTAATATGATTGTTTTAATATGTAAACAAAATCAAATGCAGTTTCAAATTTTATATATATATATATATATATATATATATATATATATATATATATATATATATATATATATATATATATATATATATATATATATATGATATAAACCTCTACAATTTCATCTGTTCAACAACTGAATTATGATTAATCACAACTCTGGAAACATAAATTTTCTTTTATTTCAAGTCTAAATAAATAAACCAATTAAAAAAAGAAATGGTAGGAAATGCTTACTGCTAGTATTTTTAGCATCTAAATAACTAAACAAAATAAACATAAATAAAAATGTAAGCAAATGTTTGCTGCAAATATTTAGAGATAAATAAACAAACATACAATATCAAATTTATATTTATGAACAAAATTATTCATATCCAGTAAGTTATATTAAATAAAATATTTATTGAAAAGCCATAAAAGTTTGCGTGAAACCAAAGTCAATAAATAAAACAAATAGTAAATAAAAATAAAAAATCGATAGGGCATCAACACACAACAAATCTGGTACAAACGTTAAAAAAGTAAATACAGCCTTATCTCCTTATTAAATATAAAAGCTTGCCTCGTGTAATTTCAAAAGTAGATTGGAAACTGTTTGCATTAGAGTATTTTACAGAATACAGAACCGTTACTAATATCGAACAATAGTAACTAACGGCATTGAACATTGAAATCTTACAGTAATAATATTTAGATATTCACTGTGCTATTTATATAAAGAAACAAAAGCAGTGAGTTCTAGTAATGAAACTACCTATTATTCATTTTTATCAACAGACACCAACATAAAGATAAGCCAAAGATAACAACATACGCAAATACGCAAAAAATTAGCAAAGATAATGTTATGAATTTTCAGAATAGTTGTATTGAAGGCTAGACAACACTTAGACCTAAAGCAGTTACGCTTGACTGGTAAGGTTAACAAGTCTTGCTCTACATGTTTGCCAACTCACACCACTTTGAAATCATGGAAACAACATTATATAAACATATATACTAACTATAAAACACAAAATAGTTTTTTAATGTATAATTAAAAACTTACATTAAAAAACTATATTGTTTTTGTTACATTATATATACATATAAAAACAACTCATTTAACAATCATGCACACATTAGATAAAATGTATTTCATACTATTATAAAAACGCACTTATAAAACAACTATATAACATATATCACCACATAAACGTATTTATCAAAAACCTTTTAACTTTTAGCATAATATAAACATATATGCAAACTTTTAACAACTATAAAACAACATTTATTAGCATCAATTATTTTTAATGTAACAAAAAATGCAGACTACAATGCACAATATTCTTAATAAAAATGAAGTTATGTCAGTCAGTATATATTTATTTAGAGTAATGATAAAAATGAAACCATTTAAAAACAAAATTAAAAATTTCTAATAAATACATATTCAGATTTTTAATTTTTCTTTACTTATTATTTTTCCTAAAAGAAAATATACATATAGATATAGAAAAATATAAAATAGACTGAAATAAACGCAAACTTATGTATATAAACTTACATGACCACAAATAACGGTCTTATTTTATTTAACTTTTCAAATTAAATACATAAATAAAATTTTATTCTCATTGTTCTTTCTACAAAAAAAAATCTTAATCTATAAGAAAATTAATTGAACTTACTAAAAAAGCCATTAGTTCCTCTTGACTGCTCTAAAAAATAAAACAATACTTGCTTAAATTGTTCTAAAAAATCTAACGACAAAACTGAAACAGTTTTCTTAAAATTTGTAATTAGTACCATGAATAAATAGTACAATGTTTATAATATTAATAGTACAATGAATAAATAGTACAATGTTTTTTTTTTTAATAAAAAAAAAAAAAAAAAAAAAAAAAACATTGTACTAAAAAAACTATTTTACCAGTCATTTTAGTTATAACTTCTTTTAAAAAATAAAAGCAGGCTATAAAAATTAGAAAAATAAAAACAACCAACAATAAACAAACGATTATTAAAACTTATGTTTTAAACAATGAACCACATCAATTCTTCTCGAAAATAAAAATATATCAGCTCTAATTTGCTCGCTGACTTTACTCGATAGACCGCGTGGAAAATATAACCGCGCTTAAAAAAGTCTAGAAACTACTTAAATAGTGTATTTTACAAAATACAGAACGGTAATTAACAAAACGAACAATAGGCGTAACTAAGCGCACTTATATTCACTGCGGTATTAATATTTAGATAACAATGAATAAAAGTAGATTTATTTTAAGTTAATTTGATTTAAGTAAAGTTAAACTTTATAAAGTATGCCAATATTTTTAGAAATTTTATTTTAGATTCATTTTATTTGATTTATCCATGAGACATTTTTGTCAAGAAGAACACCAAGAAACTTCATCTGGTGTTCTCTTTTATAATTTGATTCCCAATGCTAACATTTGGGAGCTTTAGAGGAATTTTGTCACTTTGATGAAGGCAATGAAAAAAAAATATTAATAATAATAAATTATTATTATTAATAATGATTTAATACAAATAAATATAATTTATTAGTATTAAACCATTTGGGAATAAAATAAATTGGTATCGTTACCAAATAAAAAGAGTCTAAAATATTCCATTTAAAATATAAATAAACCCTGATCTAAAATATTCGATTTAAGCTTTGCTTAAATCAATAATGTATATTAAAAACAAAAGCGGTCCTAAAATGGATCATTGAGGAACTCCAAAAGTGATTATCTTATTTTCAATTTTACCTCCATAATATGAAACATACTGACAATGTACTTGACAAATAGCTAGAAAATTTTTTTGTTAATAAACGTCAGGACATTTAATAACACTACATATGGGAGTTCAAAAACATATATATATTCTGTATAATATGAAATGAAGCTCAAAGAGGAAGAGGCAGAGGCAAAATGGCCTCTTGTTTTTTGAAATTAACTCCGTAACACAAAGCTTGAGAAACAATGCCGCCGTGCGGGAAAACAACTTGAGTGAGGTACTACTAGGGTTGTGGTGGAGATTAAACTCGGAACTTTCTCTCATGAAGCGAGCACTCTATTGCTGCACCACTTCCGCATATTAATATATTATAAATATAACTAATAAGTATATATGATATCGGTTAAATCAGCTACGGAATTAAAAATAGATTATAAACAATTTTTTTCTGTTGAAAAAACTCTTTTTAGCCAAACCAATATAATAAATTTTGGCTAGCGATTTTATTCTGCACTTTATAACCAGAGCAGCACACCATGTTGGGTTAAGGTCAGAACAACGTCGTAAGCGTTGGTCAAATGTTTTTGCTATACCAAATGTGTTGCTTAGGAACGTTAAAACTTTAATTAGTATTAACTGTTAATTAATATTAAAAATTCTTTGACAATTGAGTTTAATTGAAAAAGGAACATTTGTCTAAATGAATTTTAGATAAATATATTAAAATACTGTTCTTTAAAGTTATTTAAATTCTTTTGTTGTTAATTCAAAGTATAATACTCAAATAAAATAAATAAAAATTAATTATAACATTCATAAAAAATATTTAAGAATCAATAATAATGTTCGTAAAAAGTTTTTAAAATAACTAAAAAAAAACAACCAAATATTTAAGTTACATCACATAGAAATAACTTTTGTAAAAGCAACATTGATTACATTTTTTTTTCTTATATAATTTTGGTATATGAAAAAACATAATGCTTGTTTGTGTGTAGTAATATTTTTAATATTCAATTTAAAGGATTGTTTTGAAAAAGACTTTATCTACGTTAAAGAACTGTTTAACAATCATGCGGACGAAGTTAGCAATTATACGGACAAAGTTAACAATCATACCGACGACGTTAACAATCATACCGACGACGTTAACAATCGTACTGACGACGTTAACAATCGTACTGACGAAGTTAAAAAATTAAGGATTTTTTATCAACTAATTCAATCAGGAAAAAAGTACAACGAAATTTCAGATGGCTTTCAAAAACTTTTGTCATGGCTGGAAAATGAGGAAGAAAACAGTTCTCGTGTTGATGAAGAACGAAAATTACTTCTTGTTACCTTAAAACTAGCAATGACAAATAATATTAATACAGGTAAGTTATTGACTCTACTTAACTTTTGAAATGATTTCACTTTTTCAAAACGGTAAATAAAAGTTTTTAAAAATCAAAACAAGCTACAAAAATTCACAAAATAAAGAAACAAAACTTGATTGCATTTTATATTTGGTGAATTTTTGTGGACAAATTTAAAATACGCCCACATTAATTTGCAATACAAAATATACACAATTGTCCACAATAATTATTTAAAAATGCAATTATATTATGCAAAATATCAATCACAGAAATATGCACTTGCCATGTTTAATTATAATTACATTTCATAAATGCATGTTTATTTTATTACATATTGCTAAAAAAAACAGACAATTAATAAACAAAAAAAGATTACAATTGTAATCTGTATTCTGTAAACTCGTTACATATTGTGTAACCAGTGTACATATTGTGTAATCAGTATACAGATTAAAAAGGCCAAATTTTTGAGCAATATGTAACGAAGTAAATATGTATTTATCAAAAGTAATTATAATTATACTTGATAAATTTCTGCGATTGATATTTAAAATTTGCCCACAATAAATCACCAAATATAAAATGCAATTAAGACTTGATTGTAGCTTGTTTTGATTTTCAAAAACCTTTATCATAACTGTTTTGAAAAAGCGAAATCATTTCAAAATTCGCCTTTACTTTTTAGCAAAGTTTTACAACTTTGAATATAATTTTTAAAACTCAAGAATATAATTTTTAGTTAATAAAATGACTTTGTGCTTTTAAAATTGCATTATAAATGCGGTACATGAACACACCAAAATATTATCATTAAACAAATTAATTGAATCTTTTTCTATGATATTTTTATAATATGTTATATCATTTTTATAATGTTTAATAAAAGTAATATTAGATAAATAATAATAAAACTAATAAACATCATAATAATATATTGTCTCTCTTTTTTTTTAATTGTTTAAAAATGGAAATAATTTCTTTTTGTTTATATTTTTTTAGATTTTAGATTAAGGAATAGTCACGGAGAGACCTCTTTCGCAAATATGTTATCGGTTGGATTTGCCATTTCTACGTTTGCCGATGAATTAATAAAGAAATCAGAAAAGATTAATGAGTTGCTTTTGTTTTTAAAAAATTTAATAAATGAAAACTTTATAAGCAAAGAAAAAAAGGATGAAGCATTTCTAAAAATTAAAAACTTTATCCATGACAACCTTACTAAAAATCAAATTGCTCAGAACCTGTATGGTTATTTCCTTCAGATTGCAAATAGCTCTTTGAGTGAAGAAGTTCTTTATAAACGCTTAGACGAAGGATGGGAAAAGAATCAAAAAGAATTAACAAAAAGGTTTAAAAAAATGAAAATATTTGACAAAGAGTCAACAAAAAAATTAGAACAAATTGAAGATCAGATTGCAAAAAGTGAAGTTGACAACATAAAGTTTCGTCATGTTATAAACAGTGCGTCGGATAAAATTTCTTTACTGATAAAACAATTGAAAAAAAAATCTTCCGATTTAGAATTTACTCATAGACAAATGCACATTGTAGACAGTACAACAGTTGACATGCTTAGTTGGAAAAACTACACTGAACTCAATTTGCGTGACGAAGAGATTGCACTGCAAAAAAAAGAAAAAATGTTTTTAGAAATGTTGAAAAGTTTTAATTATGAGCTTGAAAGTAATTTGAATGATCAAAAGAATATTTTATGCAAAAATCAGCATTTTTTTAAAGCAATTAAAGAAATTAACATGTGTTATTCTGAGTTTAAACTTAACGAAAAGCGTATTCTTGAATCATACAATATAACAACTGGATCAGACACAAAACATGGCTCTCGCTGCTGTCCAATAAATGACAAAAATACTGAAATGTATGAAAATACTATAAAAGGTACAAACGCATCTGATGATAAAAACTTTGCCTCAGAAAGTCTTAAAGATAAAATTGAAAGTCTTGAAGATGAAAACAAACTTTTAATAATTGAAATAGAAGATTTGAAAGAAGAGAATGCTAAGCTCATAAAAAAAATGCATGAAATTCAAACACTTAAAGAGAGTTGCCAATCAACCCAACAGCCTACATCAAATGAAAATGAATTAAGTGTCAAAAATAATCCAAAAGAAGAAATGTTGTCAAAACAGATAACCGACTTAAAACACATAACCGAGATGCAGTTTGAAAACAGTAAACTTAAAAACATTTTAAATGAACAAAAGAAAAAATGTTTAATGCTGAATAAAAAAACAAAACTGGTTCGCAATAAAAATATAGAATTATTTCAAGAAAATAACTTGTTGCAAAAGATGATGGTCGTACTTAGAGATAAATTATCTCAACTAATGGAAAACAACGCGTGCTTTGAGTTAAATTATTCTAATGAAACTAAGCTCAAAAAGAAGGAAAAAAAAGTTAGCCGTAAAACAAACAAGAAAAAGAAGTTACATAAAGTGTTCAATATTGATGATTCAATATTTAAAAAAAACTACAACTTGTTTGAAGAAGACCTTTTAAAACCAATTCAGTTTGAAGACGACTTTTTAAAAATGATGAAGTTTCAGAAAGATGAATACGACTTTGAGAAAGACGGACTTGGACTTGGAAACGACTTATTGCTTTTAAAACGAAAGCTTTTGATACAATCAGAGAAAGAATATAAAACGTTGGTTGGCATTTATAAAAAACTCTGCTTAAGCAAACTAACTCCAAATGTACGTTATAAATTAAAATTTAATTGCAACGAAGATGAATATAAACCTACATTGTCAATCAAAAATATTATTTTTACTGATTCGGAAATAAACCTGATTAAAATAAAAGAACAAAATTTAAATCAAACGAATTTTGCAGAACAAACCAGTGGGTTTTTTGATGAAAATGTAATCAATGAGCTTATTATGAAGCTTTATCAAAGTTATAAACAATTAAAGTATTTAAAAACAAGATTTGAGTTAATGAAAATCAACCATTTTGATGAAACTCAAAAATACAACAACTTGTTGTCAAACTTAGCAGTTTTAGGAAATTTTCTAAAAGAATTACATTTGGAACAGTGCAATGATGCTGAATCATACTTATTAAAGCTCAAAAAAGGTTTATTTTTAAAGATTTTTTTTATTTATAAAAACAACATGTTAAAATATTCAAGTTTTGGGTTAAATTTTATCTAAGTGGATAATTGTTCTTTTAAGTAAACTTTTATACGTATATTGCGCTTGTGTCATGTAATTTTTATACATGTGTGTGTGCTTGTGTCATGTGCTGCTTTCACTCTATGGGATGCAGACATGTGACATCATATAAGTAAAACAGGCTAGTAAGTAGTAGAATAAAAGGGGTAGAAATAGTGGATAAAATGAAGTAGAAATGACAACTCATGGCCAATGCCGTCGGAAGAAGGAGGCACGTACCTGCCCTATTTTTTTGTACCCTCCCCCCGCTTTGAAATTTATGTTGCCGGCCCTGCAATTTTTATTATTTTGCACTTAAAAGTTGAATAAACATATTTTGATCATTCTGTAGAAAGTCTTTTTTTTAATTAAATAAAATTTTATATCAAGCACCCACTCTCAGTAACGATCTAGTCAATTGTGGGCAAGAAACAGGACTCCTATACAAAATGGTCAGAAAATGAGTTAAGACCAGTATAAAGAAGTTCTGACCAATAAGTTGCTACCCCAAATGATGCTTTATATAAAATTTTAATAAAAAATAAATAAGTTATTTAAATAAATTGTTAAATTTTTTAGCTGTGTAATAATTTTTTTTTTTTTGTTCTTTGAAAAATGGGCTTTACACTTAAAAGCGTAATTCTGTATTAGTGTACTAAGAAGGTACCCTTCTATAAATTTTTAAGCTTGTCAAATATCTTTTATTAAAAATAAATTAGCTATTAGGGTAAAAAAATAAAAAAAGAATTAAGCACACTAATTGTTAAGTTAATAAACGAGGTTTTATGAATTAGTTATGCATAAACTGAGAAATGAACTCTTCGTATAAATTTTAAATCCATTATTATCAAACTTTTCTAATATAAAGTATGCTTCGAAAAAACTTGTACGCAATCAAAAAGAAAAACCATGCGCCAAAGTGAAAGTTGAATTTTGCTGGTAAAAAGTACAAAGTTGCTCAATGAATCAACATACAAGTAACAAGTAAGCCAAAAAAAAGCCATCTACCAAAAAAAAAAGCCATCTATCAAAGTTGATTAAAGAACCGCGTGTGTGCGGCTGTTGAATCAACTTTAATAGATACGCATATCAAATTATCTGGAAGGGGCTTTAGCAGAATTCATAATGACCTCATCTAGCTAGTTACCAATTATTTGCAACATCAAGGTCATGACATGAAGAAAAAAGTACACAGTAAACAATAATACACAGGAGATAATTTCATTCAAGCATTTGATCAACCAGTGAAGTTATAAGTTGAAGTCATCAGAGCCGTTGGCATTATTTCAATACTTAGGATTGCTTCTTGCACGCAAGAAATAGTAGTAACGTATTTTAGTATACTGAAAAGTGAACTTGAAGAAACGGGGGTTAAAGAAAACAACTCATGTCATTTTTGAAACTTTAATGAAATTGCTATCTTTGATGATCATGACAAGTAACACGTAGTTTGTAGGCATGGTGCTTAATAACCATTAAAATTGGTTAATAGAATTCAAAAAATTAATGATACATTTGAAATCTGCATCAATGGTACTGGTAATTATTTTGCACCATGCAATATTTTTAAATCAAGTTATTTTTAACTTCTGCACAAAAGTTGGTGCTTAAGTGTTCCAGATAATGCCGCATACACAACGTCTCCATCCGGATGAATGGAAGGTAATCAGTTTATGCAGTGGCTCAATTGTGTGTACATTTCATTAAAATTCTAGTTAACTAGTATAATCTTTAGCTGAATCAATTATTTAACTAAATAAAACTTTTTATTATTATTGTTATGTTATATAAATTTTCTATTTATGTAGAGATTACAATTACATCCCTTATAAAATAAAATTTAATTGCAAAAGTAAAATTAATAAATAGTCTGATGCTCAAAGAAGTTTTGAAAGGCAAATTGTACAGTCGAGGAGGCAACTTTAGTTGTAGCTACAACTCTCTCCTAACTCTATAACTCCGAATCATGAATCTTGACGAACAAGTCGTTGCGTGGAGAAACAAGTTAAGCGCGGTTCTACCAGTGACGTGGTGGGAATCAAACTTAGAGCTTTTCTCTTATGAGGCAAGTGCTCTACCACTACACCACTACCGCATAAATTTATAGGTGACATATGAGCCGGTATACGTGATATATGAGCGGTATATGTGACATATGAGCCAGTAGGAATCAGAATGATGTAAGCCAACGTTTACTAAATTTTAGATTTTTATGGTTTTAGTAAATTTACAATAGTTAAACCCTACAAACTAAAAAATAATGGTTAAACTTGTTTAAGACATAAAAAGAGGTTTTATACAAAAATTCAAGATTTCGTGTTATGGAACAAGTAGTGAAGAAGATGAGAAATCTTATGAACGCTACAAGAAACTGTGTGGTCTTAGAACCCTGGAAATAAACAAGATCAAAGAAGAGCAATATAAAAAAATAGAGTGTTTTATAAAAGAAGCAAACTGTACTTTTCCTGTTTATAAAACAAACATCTTAAAACTTACGAGATGAAGAAAATAGAGACAAGCAAGCAAAGACAGAAGATATTGAGTTCCTCAAGAGAGCATTCAAAGATGAAATGGTTAAGTTTAACTTATCAAGAAAAGTAATAGACGTGGAAAAGCGAATTTTAGATATGATAGAAAGTATGCGTAGAGAAGTACAGCATTGACGATATAGAAAGAATGAAAGATTTTTAGACGAGTGCCACTGATACCGACAATGAATTTGAGCCATGTCAAAAAATAAAATCAGTGAAGATAGAGTTTACATGGATCTTTCAATAAATGATGTTCTTGACAAGTAGGTTCCTTTCTTGACTAGGTACAAGGTTAGAATTCGAACTAAAACCTCCCCTCTTTCCTCACTTTTCAAGATTGGTGGTGTTAATCTTAATACAGTTCCTGTATCAAAGAGTAGTCTACATAGAAACAAAAAGATTTTGATTGAAAATGAAGCTAGAATAGTCAGAGAAGAAAATCTAGACAAAGTTTTTCATTTTGTATATTTTCCAAATTTATCTTTTAAGACATCATATAACTCAAAGGCATATTTCCCATGCAATAGATTATGTTCAAGGTTCAAAAAAATCTTCATCACGTGCAATATGCAAAGATTTTTAACAAATCTGGCCCGAAATAAGAGAAAGGACAAATAATTTTCATAGAAAGGTATTAGATACTAAGAACCGCTACATAACAACCCTAAAATAAGATTGCTTTCAAAGAGAAGATTATAAAATTCTTTGTGAAATAATAGTCATTTGCCTTGGTAACCATGTGCCTAGTTTCCAGTTCAAACAACCATGTATTCACCATCAAGTAGGGTTCATGGCTGATTGTCTATACTTGCTTACAATGCAGCTGACTTCAAAGATTAATTTAAAGTTGAATAAAAGTTAGAAAGATATGCTCAAACTGTCAACTAACTTTATTGTCACATTTTATGGAGCATACTTTTTAAAGTCTCTTCTGGCGGCCCAGGTTCCATTACATACTTTGGATGCTTTTAAGCTAGCTTTTGAAATGATGAGAATAAGCTATATATATCCAAGTATGGTCCTCCGGGAAAGCTGCTACATGCAAGCTTGGTCCGTCACAGTTGGTACTTGACTCCACAACTAGTTATTCTTTCAACTTGTTCTTACATTTAGAACTGAAGGAAAGAGCTGGACTAGCTCAGAAGCTACTAGGTTTCAATTTTCTGCAACCTGATGTGTTTGAAAGGGAACAACCTCACCTTCCAACACATATGGTTCCCATGTCAGTTTTGTCTGACTTTATGACTAATGAGTCCTGGCTGCTCTTCACATACTTAGGTATAACTACGGAAGTAATAAACACATGGATAAAGAATAACTTTGAAAATGATTCCTACAGACATTTTCAACATCGAATGGAGAATCTAGCTGTAGTAAATGACAGGGCTGAGCGCCACATCAAAATTGTGAAGGATTTTGTGGCTGAAAGTCATGACGAAGATCTTTTGCAGGATACCATGCAAGATGTGCAAAAAAAACGAAAAAAGGTTGAAAAAAAAATTAAAAAAAAGTGATTTTATGTAAATTTTATGTAATTTTTGAGTCTATTTGCCTTTAAATGACCAATGTGTATTAATATTAACTGTTAAATAAAAGATTTTTATTTTCTGAAAAAAATAACTGAAAAATGGACAATTTTCTACTGTTTAATCATAAATCAGGGGCACCAAAAAAGCTGAGGGGGCAAAAATTCAATGCAACTTCACATACAAAAATACTTTGTACTGGAACCCCTTGACTTTGAGACCTAAAATTTTTTCTGGTGTGTCCTGGGACCAAATAAGGATGATTGAGATGGGTGCATTTAAATATTTTTTGGTCAGGTATTTTTTTTCAAATTTATATATATATATATATATATATATATATATATATATATATATATATATATATATATATATATATATATATATATATATATATATATATATATATATATATATATATATATATATATATAGCGGCCTTGTTCGTCAAGGTTCGTATTTCGGAGTTATAGAGTTGAGAGAGAGTTATATGACCACAAATAAGTAGCCTCCTCGTCTGTAGTGGCCTTCTTGGCCTTGATGTGGTGAATTAACAAAAAAAAATATATATATATATATATATATTTATATATATATATATATGTATATTTGTATATATATATATACATATATATATATATATATATATATATATATATATATATATATATATATATATATATATATATATATATATATATATATATAAATATATATATACATATATATATATATATATATATATATATATATATATATATATATATGTATATATATATATATATATATATATATATATATATATATATATATATATATATATATATATATATATATATATATATATATATATATATATATATATATATATGTATATATATATGTTATTTAGTTTAAATTCAATTATCTCTAAACTTAATACGTTTTATTAATTTTTAGGTAAAGTTTCTTCTTCAGTGCTTCTTGATGGAAAAAATTTGGCGCTTTTTAAAAGGTTTTTCTATTCAATATCCAACCCTCAACCAAAAAAGGAATTTTCAAAAGAAAGTGAATGTGAAAGTGAGTCAGATATATTCAAAAATGAAAGAAGTGATACAACTAAAGAAAAAGCTAATTTATTAAAAGACCCGCATGTAAAGATATACAAGAAGGTTAAATCAGAAAAAGCACTAGAATTAAAAGATGAGATTGTTGACCAATCTAATGATAATTTAAGTCAAAAAAATCAATCAAGAGAAAAAAAACTACAAGAACTACAATTAATTTTTGAGCAACTGAGAAGTGATCAATTTGACTTGTTAAAACAAAATGAATGCTTGCTGATTGAAGTACAGCAAAAAAATAAAGATTTGCAAAAAGAAAAAAAAACAAATAGTGATTTAAAAAAAAAAGTTGAGTTCATAAAAGAAATCATTTTAAAAGGAAAAAAAATGCATACCGACAAAAAAAAAATTATTCGAGAACGTGACGAAATTTTTAATCGAGTTCAAACTCAAGCAAAATCTCTTATTTCGTTGAAAAATAACGCAGCTGATCTAAAAATACTCGCTGAAGAAAAAAACGCATGTTTTACCGATGCACAAAACGTTCAAATAAAAGAAGTTGACGGACTCAAAAACCGATGTTTTACCGATGCACAAAACGTTCAAATAAAAGAAGTTGACGGACTCAAAAACTTAGTCTACTACAGTCCAAAAAAAAACAATTGTATAAATAAACAAAAAAACAATCAGGGTTCAAAAGAGGCGTTAAGAGATAAGAAAGGGTGTAAAGATAACATCAATAAACCTTCAATCAACCAAACTGTGTTATCGAAAGGACATTTAAATTGTGTTAATCGAGCTATAAGTTTAGTTAAGAGTTACAGAAATTTAAAAAAGTACAATAAAAAACTCAATAAAAGGCTTCGGAAAACTAAAAAGGAACTTGCTGTAACGGAAAATCAATTGCTTGAAGTGCAAATAGAGCTAGATGCCCACAAGTTAGTTAACGAAAATCTTCTAACAAAATACAAAACAGACAAATCAAACTTTCAAATTCAATCATCTTTAAATGTTTTTGGTTTGACATCTGCCAAATACACACAAACAGAAAACTATCTGTCAGTTAATACAACTCAACCCCGCGAGTATGAAGAACTCAAAAATACATTGGAAAAGTTTTATAAAACGGAATTCATGATTATAGAAGATTTATCAAAAGAAAAGAATGAAACCGAACACCTAAAAGATAAGATGTTGAGGGATAATAACGATTTATATCTAACATATAATGTTTCAAACAATTTAACAGTTGAAAATAAAAAAACAAATCTTCTTTTGGAAAATAAGTATTCAAATAAAGATGCATCAGACCTAGAATCTAAATATTTAGAAGTTACAAAAAAAAATAAAGAGTACGAGTCCACTATTGAAATGCTTGAGCGTCAAATATTGCAGATTAGTCGGTCATTAGACAGATCATTAGAGGGATTGTCTGGCTCATCGGAAAAACAAGACACGTTAAAAGACTTAAAAGACCTTCTATCAAATAGTTTTGACAATATTGTAAATCGCAAAGGCATTAATGAAAAGTTTGAAAATGAGGAAGGTGTTGGTTACGTGAGCAATCATAACAAAACGTGGTCTATTACAGACGGTTTTGATCTTTCGGAAGATAAAAATGACCATAAGGAAAAATTTGGTTCATTTAATGAGGTCAGCAAAAGCTGTACAAAAGAAAAAAAGGAATCAGAAAAAAAAAGTGAATTTGAAGTGTTCAACAAGAACCACTATAGTTCTACAACCGATTCAACTTTTAAAGAAAATAAACTTGATGCTGAAAGAGATGTTTTACATGTAGACAAGATAACTAAAAAGAATACAACTAATAAAAACATAACACTCAAAATACCTGATGTTGTTGTTAACAAATTTGAACATTCCTCTTGTAATTCTAATTTGAAAACATTAGAAATACAAGAGAAAAATTTTATCAGTAATCTAGAAATTCAATTAGAAAATTCTTTGAAAGAGATTGATAGATTAAAAACTATTTCTGATATAAAAAAATTTTTTTTTCTGTATATTCAAAAAGAATTTGATAAGATTGTTTTACTAGTAGAACAAAAAAATGTCGAATTAGAAAAACTTTATGCAAGCTTTATTGCTAGAAAAACTGCTAAAGATGGTTTTTATGGAAAAAGTAAAGACACGGCATCACATTTTCCGAATGAAACAGAAAAAGGTTTAAAAAACTTTTTTTATGACCAGTTTTCAGAGAATGAAGTACTCAAGCTACAGAGCAAAGAAGATCTACAGAGCAAAGAAGATTTACTAAATAGTGATGAAGTTCAAAAGGAGCTAGATATACAAAGCAACGCAATTTTTACTCTAAAAATCAAATTACACCATTTTTTAAATTATCATCAAGCAATATGTCAAAGTTTATTACTCAGCCTAAAGCCTACAATTTGTTCAATGAATCAAATTAATGGTTATTGTATCAAACACTATCCTGACGATAGACATACAAGCCAGCAGATAAACAAGGTAGATGCAATAGCAAATAAAAGGAAGATAACAAGTGATGGTAAACTAGGTATGAGTAATTTTAAGTAAATGGAATGAATATAACAAGAGTTGAACAATCTATTACTTTTTAAAATTTTTAAATAAATTATTTTATTGCGAAATATTTTTATTACATTGGAGGTTTGTAACTCTCAATTTTCTGCATTAATTAAGTTTTTGTCTATGCATACCTAAAAAAAAATTTAGTTTGTCTAACTCCAAATATAATTCTGTTCCGCATACTAACATAAAATGTGTTTGGCTGTATTGTTTGGCAAACAATACAACCAAGCACAATTTTGTATTTGATCACTGTGAGGTAAGAAGGAGAATAAACCACTATATATATCAATCAGAAAAAATAATAACACCGATAATTTGTTAATGCCTAAAAATTATAGATTTATTGACTAGTTATTTTAAGTCTGTGACTGTGTTTTTTAATACTTTTAAATAATACAAGTTGCGGTCAACCTAACTGCAAATTAATGCAGTTGTATCAACTCACGTAAATTGTAGTTGGTGCAACGATACATACTGTTTGGGTCATAAAATTGCGCCTTATTACCCAACACCACTTTTCGGAGTGAAGAGAATTTTACATGGTCATAAATTTTAAACGTTGAACGACGAAACATGAAACCTGTCAATGAATTTAAACAAAGTATAGTATACATTGTATAATGTATATAGTATATGTATTTATATCTTCAGTATATATTCAGTATATATATATATATATATATATATATATATATATATATATATATATATATATATATATATATATATATATATATATATATATATATATATATATATATATATATATATATATATATATATATATATATATATATATATATATATAGTATATACTGTTTTAGTTGATTCCCCTCACAGTCGGGGTTTGAGCAAACTTTTTAGCGTACTTTTGTCCCTATGCTCCAATTTTTCTGCAAAATATTCTCATTTGACATAAACGTAACTATACTTACGCTTGAAGTTTGCGCAGTGCCTTAAAGTGTCATCTCTGAAAATCAAAAAAAAATTTCGGCACCACTTATTTATATTGATATTTTTAGTATAAAATGATATTAGGCAAAACACAAAGATTGAAAATTGATTGTTCAATCAATGTTCAATTTTTGTAAAAAAATATTGATTGTTTAACTTATATCATTAAAAATCTCATAAGTTAAACGAAAATGGTAAAAATAAACACATAATGATTCGTGCCATTTAAAAAGATAACGATCACTGTATTGAAATGCAGTAAAAATAGATTTGTGAAACATATTTTTATGGATTTTAATGATAAAAGAAAAAGTTCAAAGTTTTAACCACGTTATTAATAAAAATTTAAAGTTTGTATTTAATAAAGCTCCTTATCTTAGCTTCAAGCTTTTTTCAAAACTAATTTTAAAAAATGACCACAGTTTGTTATCACATTTGTACTTTGGTTTTCAAGTTTGTTATCACATTTGTATTGTTTTGCTAATGATTTACTCAGAGACCTCATTATTATAGCCTGCGTAGTTTATAATTTCGGTTTTATTTTTAAATCAACAATGGCAAAGTTCTTTCTAAACTTGTTAGTAACCTGGATATTAGAAGCTGCTTAACATGCTGTTGAAACATTATCTTTGCATCCTCACAAAAACAAAAACAAAAAAATGAAAAATAGTAACAAAATATGTTCGAAAATAAAATTTTATGTAACTTAGAAAGTCTGAAACTAATATATTTTGGCTTAATAAATAATTCCTTTTACGATTCCAATTATAAATGAGCTAATACTCAACCAACAAAACCTAAAAACTTATTTAAACCTAAAATAAAAATAAAATAAAACTAAAATAATAAAATAAAATAAAAAAGAATAAAATAAAAACTAAAAATCTAAAATCTTATATAAACGAAAAACAAATTAAAAAGCGTAGCCCTTATTGAAATACATGCAAGTGATGAATATATATATTAAATATTTACCAGTACTTTACTTTTATGTATAAATACAATAACAGTTAGATTTCAAAAGACTTTGGTAATAAATTTATGAAAAATAAGAACAAAAAATTCTCTGTGCAAAAAAACAATGCAATGTTAATGAATTACCAAGAATTAAGTTTTCTGAATGTGAAACAGCATACCAAAGACATAAATTATGGAACACTTTTAGAAAAGCAAAAAAGTTCAAATATCGTAAAACTATCAAATTCGTTCAAGTTTGTAATAAAAAATGAAATTTTAAACGAAATAAATAACTATCTTTATATGAATAACAAACCCCATATCTACAGGCTTTATTTTGTTCGTCTTTCCTTATTGTTTTATTGTTGTTTTTTTAATACTTTACATTTAGCAAAGACATTTTGAATGAAGATCGTTAATTTATTTAGATTTTACTTTTATTTATTTATTTTTACTGTTTTATTTTAATTTTTATTTTTATTAGCTCATATAAATGTTTAAGGCTTTTTTTATCCATTATCAATTATATATCGGAGTTGTTTATGGTATTTTAAACAATATTCTGTTTTGTTTAACTTGTAACAAATAACAAATTTTGCATAAAAAATAATGAAGGAATTGCGCAGTCAAAGATTAAAAGCAGTATCTTGGTTAAAAAAATTGTTATCATCTAATATTGGTAAAACTTTTTATTTTGTCAAACAATAAAAGAAGATAAATTCCTATAAAATATTTAAAATCTAACTTTCAAATTAAAGTATGGGTTCAAAAGGAAAATATCATCAAACAATTGAATGGTTTGCAACATAGGCCTTGTAAATAGTTTGTTAATTATTTCAAATGTACAAACATTAGTCATAAATATAAAAAATGTGATATCTTTTTTGCTAATAATTCTTAGCTGACGTTCTTTTTTGCAAATAATTCTTAGCTGACGTTCTTTTTTGCAAATAACTCTTAGCTGACGTTCTTTTTTGCAAATAATTCTTAGCTGACGTTCTTTTTTGCAAATTTTTTAAGTACTACTTTTATGACTTCGACACTTTTCTTACTCGCATTCATTCAAACTTTTTCATGATGGTTTTGCGAATGTCATCACAATGTCTGTTTTTTTTTTAAAATTTTATTATCCCATCATCCAACAAACAATTGAATTTGCGACGTTCTTGGCATTTTAGTTTTTTAAACATTTGCTTTATTATATTATTCTTTTTAATACTATTTAACTTAATTTTTCATTAATTTGTTTTTACTTTTCAAAGCAAATATACATATATTTGCTTTTACTAGATTAGTTCCTTCTTTTTAATTCACAAATTTTGCAATCAGAACTTTGGAAAACTTATAATTACAATCGCTTTCCTTAATTTTAATATGCATAATAAACTAAACATCAGCAACAATAGAAATTTTCTAAATATAGAAATATCAAAAGATTGGAGTAAAAGAATTCATTTCTGACATGAAAATTGAGAATTGACAGTTCTAATTGGCCCGTTATATGGTTTTTAGGGTCAAAAAATATTAAATGCAGTAAAAAAATTAAAAATCATGTCAAGAAATTATATTAGTTCAACAGTAAAATAAATAGTTTAATTTTAAAATTATTTATTTATCAAAACTTTATAAACACTTTTTACGTTAGACATGTAATTTGCAGTCATAAAATAATAAAGCTTACTGTTAAATATAATAATGATGTAATCAAATTACTAATTTAAAAAAAAACTAAAAAAAACAAAAAAACAAAGAAATGCAGTTCTGAAACAAACAAAAAAAAATTTATTTCTAAAGTTTTGATCCCTACTGTTCTTATTCTTATAGATTTACAAAAAAAATTATTTTCCTGAAGTAAATACATTTCATAGATACTTGAAATTCTCACCTATTATTCGACAATAAACGTAAGTCATAAAATATCAGAAGATTTTAGTCGTTTTTATCTTATCGGTAGTTTCTGAAATGTTTTAGACACTACGCGTAGCGAATAAATTCGTAGTATGCCTGCAACCGCGTGCCAAAAAACAAAAGTAGCCTAATTAATAAAATAAGTAAATTAATTACATAATGCTTTGTTTTCTAGAGAAACATAAAACATATCCTTCTCAGTGGGCATGCGTCGTCCAGGAGAAGTTCGTCGGAGGTCTAATAAGACGCGGCGTCCGTAAGACGTCTGACAGACGTCCCCTGGACAATGCGTGCCTACTGGGTTACAAAGAATAGGCCAACAGCCTTGGTAGATCTGTAAAATATAGTCTGATAATAGTAGTTTGTAGTTATTGAATATAAACTGATACGTACAGGGGATACTGCAGTTTTTTTCAGTATTTGAAATAGACAATTTATGTTTATGGTTGCGTCAAGTAAAAACCCAAAAATTTGTATTGATTGAAGCCTGGTAAGAAATGAGCTTAAGTTTTTAGGCTCCTTTACTCTAAATGTAGAGTGAATAAGTTGATAAAAAAGATTTTTAGTGTCCGTAACAAACTTATTTGTCGACACATGTTATTTGATATTTGTCGACAAATATCAATTTGAGGGGTTAATTTAAAGGGGTTAAATTGATTAATAAATTAAGTTTGAAATCTGATAATATAAACAAATACAGAAAAAACATTTATAAACTCATAGGGGGGTGGATTTTCAAATATTTTAAGACTTTTTTATTTTTTTAATAATTATTAGACAGTGGTCATTGCGATTTTTTGCAAAGCATCTTTTTTAGCATAGTTATAAGTACCAGATGTAAACATTTTATGTGATAATAGTATTTAAAAACTTATCGCAATCAATCTGTGAATTTCTTTTCATTGGTTTTATATTGGTTTTTCGACTGGTTTTATTGTGAGAAATTAAAAAAAAAATATTCGAACAAATTGTTTTAAAATTGTTTTCTATTTGGTTTCATAAAGAATGTATTTAAAAAAGTAATCGGCTCATTTACCTTAAACAAAAAGAGCTTAAGACGTCATCTTTCTTGTAAATAGAAATATTTTGGCTTGTTGCAGCAGTACAAATAAGCAAACATATATATTCAAAAGTTCAATTTAGAAA